GGCGATATTTCATTGTGGTTTTAATTTGCATTTCTCTGATGATTAGTGATGTCGAGCATCTTTTCAAATATCTATTGGACATCTGTATGTCCTCTTTGGGAAAATGTCTGTTCAAGTCCTCTGCCCATTTTTTATTTGAATTGTTGGGTTTTTTTTGGTGTTAAGCTGTGTGCATTCTTTATAAATTTTGGATATTAACCCCTTATTGAATGTAATATTGGCAAATACCTTCTCCCATTAAGTAGGTTGTCTTTCTGTTTTGTTGATGGTTTCTTTTGCTCTGCAAAGCCTTTTTTAGTGTGATGTAGTCCCATTTCTTTATTTTTTCTTTTGTTTCTCTTGCCTGAGGTGGCATAACAGAAAAAATATTACTAAGAGCAATGTCAACAAGTTTTCTTTTAGGGGTTTTATGGTTTCAGGCCTTACATTTAAGTCTTTAATCCATTTTGAGTTTATTTTTGTTTATGGTGTAGGAAGGGGTTTCATATATTTTTTTTGCATATACTGGGAAACTACCCAGTTTTCCCAGCATCATTTATTGAATAGACTGTCTTTACCCCATTGTATATTCTTTCCTCCTTTGTCATAGATTAATTGACCATTTAGGCATGGGTTTATTATTGGGCTCTCTATTCTGTTCCATTGACCTATGTGTCTGTTTTATCCAGTATTTTGCTATTTTGCATATTTGGATATATTATAAAGATCCAGTATTTGCTGTTAACCATGCTGTTTTTATTACTATAACCTTGTTGTATAGTTTGATATCAGGTATTGTGATACCTTTAACTTTGTTCTTTCTCAAGACTGCTGTGGCTATTCAGGGTCCTTTGTGGATCCATATAAATTTTTGGATTATTTGTTCAAATTCTATGAAAAATGTCATTGATAATTTGACAGGAATTTATAGATTGCTTTGAGTAGTATGGGCGTTTTAATGATGTTAATTCTTCCTATTTATGAGCATGGTATATGCTTCCATTTATTTGTATCTTCTTCAGTTTCTTTCTTCAATGTCTAATAATTCTTCAAGTACAAATCTTTTACCTCTTTGTTTAAATTTAGGTATTTTATTTATTTATTTTGATGCAATCATAAATGGCATTGTTTTCTTAATTTCTCTTTCTGATAATTTGTAATTGGGGGATAGAAATGCAATTGGTTTCCGAATATTAATTTTTACATCCTGCTACTTTACCAAATTCATTTATCAGTTCTAATATTTTTTTTTTGGTGGAATCCTTAGGGTTCTTTCTATATAGCATCATGTCATCTGCAAATAATGATGGTTTTATTTTTTCCTTTCCAATTTGGATGTCTTTTATTTCTTTTTCTTGTCTGATGCTATATTTCTTATCCAATGCTATATTGAATAGAAGTGGTAAAAATGGACCTTCTTGTTTTGTTCCTAATCATACTGAGAATGCTTTTAGCTTTTCACCATTGAGTATGATGTTAGCTATGGGTTTGTCATATGTAGCTTTTATTATCTTGAGATATGTTCCCTCTATTCCCACTTTGCTGAAAGTTTTTATTATAATGGATGCTGGATTTTGTCAAGTGCTTTTTCTATTGATATGATTATGATTTCTATCCTTCATATTAATTGATTTGTGGATATTAAACCAATCTTGTATCTTAGGAATAAATCCCACTTGATCATGGTGTATGCTCTTTTTAATGTATTGCTGAATTAGGTATGCTAATGTTTTGTTGAAGATTTTTGCATCTATGTTAATCAGGGATATTGGCCTATTATGTCTTTGGTTTTGAAATCAGGGTAATGGTGGTGTCATAAAATGAGCTTGTGAATCTTCTCTCCTCTTTTTTGGAATAGTTTTTGGAATAGTTTGAGATGAATAGGTATTAATTCTTCTTTGAATGTTTGATAAAATTCACCTATGAAGCCATCTGATCCAGTGTCATCACTTCTGCAACTTTTAGTTATTAACATCAACGACAATAATGATAACAATTTATTTAGCTCTTATTAGATACCAGACACTATTAATACTGGGGAGACAGTGAATTAAAACAAAATTTCTGCTCTCATAGAGGTGATGGTTAATGTGTAAGAGAAAAATCAAGCAGGGGAAGAGTGATGGAGGGAGTAGTGGTTGTAGTAGGATGGCCGTTGGCATTGGAGAAACGACATAAATGGCATTAGAGAATGAAGACATGGATGAAGTGAAGGAATGAGTCTGGGGAAATGTTGAATAAGGGAGTTCTAGGTAGGGGGAATATTATATGATAAAGTCTTAGGCAAAATGAGCGTGGCTTGTTCCAAGAACACAAAGGAGGTCACAAATGGCCATTTGTATACCTTCTTTGAAGAAACGCCTATCCAAATCCTTTGCCCATTTAAAAAATTGAGTTATTTGTTCCCTTATTGTTGAGTTGTAACAGTTCTTTGTATGTTCTGGATGAGTCTCTTATCAGATATATGATTTGCCTGTATTTTCTTTCATCTGTGAGTTGTGTTTTTATATTCTTGATAGTAGTATTTGAAACACAGGTTTTTAATTTTGGCGAAGTCCAGTTTATCTTTTTTTTAATTGTTCTTTGTTGCTTGTGCTTTGGTGTCTTATCTAAGAAACAATTGCCTAATCCAACATCACTAAGATGTATGTGTATGTTTTTTCCTAAGAGTTTATAGTTTTAGCTCTTGTGTTTAGGGATCAGATACATTTGGAGTTAATTTTTACATAAGGTGTGAGGTAAGGGTCTGTATTGTCTAGAGATGCTTATCTAGGTACCACAAACTGGGTAGTTTAAACAGCAGAAATTTATTGTCTCACAGTTCTGGAGGGTAGAAGTCAAAGTTCAAGCTGTCAGCAGAGTTGATTCCTTCTGAATCAGCCTGTGAGGAAAAAACTGTTTCATGCCTATTCCCTAGGCTCTAGTGGTTTACTCACAATCTTTGGCATTCCTTGGCTTTGGCATCACCTGATCCCTGCCTTCATTTTCATATGGCGTTCTCACTGCGTCTTACCTGTGCCTAAATTTTTCCTTTTTATAAGACTGCCAGTCATATTGAATTAGGGGCCCACTCTACTACAGTATGACCTCATCCTGTATTGAGTAATCAAATCTGCAATGACCCTATTTCCACATAAGTTCATATTCTGAGGTGCTGGTAGATAGCACTTTAACATATGAATTTTAAGGGGACATGATTTAACACCAAACATGATTTAGTTTCATTCTTTTGCATATGTATATGCAATTGTTCCATTTTGTATATATGCGAAACTATTAGTAGTATAATTTCTTAGAAGTAGAATTCTTAGGTCAAGAGGCCGTGTACATTTAACATTTTGAAATTACCAAAGCATTTTCTTTAGAGGTTGTATAATTTATTCTCTATACAGCAATGTATATGAGTATGTATTTGCCATATCTTATGAACACAGTATGTTACCAAACTTTTTGATATTGGTCAATCTTATAGAAGAAAAATAACATTTCATTGTATTCTACTTTGCATTTATTTTATTAAGAAAGAAATTGAATACCTCTTCACATGTTTAAGAGACATATTTTCTCTTCAGTGAACTGTCTATTCTTAGCTCTCTTTTTTTCAATTGGGTTATTGTTCTTTCTCATTGATTTTTAAGAGTTTTTGTATATTATCAGGATATTAGCCCTTTATTTTTATTCTTTGTTTCTATGTGTTCTATTTTTGTAAACCATAAATATTTTAACTTTTTATGTAGTGAATATATTAAATTTTTTTAATGGTTTCAGGGTCTGTGGAATACTTAGAATGGGCTTTCCTTCTCTGAAATTATATAAAAATAAAAATTCTGCAATTTTTTCCTAGTTTTTTTAATGCTTTATTTTTTATCATTAAATATTTGATCAATCTGGAATTTATTTTAGTGGGGATGTGAGGTAGGAATTCAGATTTAATTTTTTCAATACTATTCAATTATTTCATTTACTAAGTAAATAATCCATCTATTTGCACTTATGTGAAATGCATATTTATCATTTCCTATAGTTCCATACTTTTCTGGGTTTATTTTTGAACTTCCTATTGTGTTCCATTGATCTATCTAGCTGTTCAGGCTTTATTGTTACATTTTAATTATAGTTGTTTTATAAGACATTTTAATGTCTGGCAGAAGACCCCTTTATTCTTATTTTTGAGGTTTTACATTCTGGCTATTTTTTATTTTTTATTGAATTTTAAAATTATCTTTTCTAATTTAAATAGAAAATTCTGTTTGTATTTTTATTGGGATTGCATTAATGCTTTGGTTTAATTTAGAAAGATATGCAATCATTCTGATGTTCACCCTTTCAATGTATTTATTTTAGTTTTCTTATTTAAGTTTTAATCCATCTGTTATGTTCCTCAGTAGCATTTCAATATTTTCTTCAAATTTCTTTATTATTTTGAATTTTCTTATCAAGGTTTTCAGATATTTTATCTCTTATGATGTTATTTAAAATTTTTTCCCTTAAATTTTGTTCTCTAACTTTGAAGTCTATTGTAGTCTTGCCCTGACTTTTTAGGGAAAGTTTATATATTTAATTTCGGGGTATTGTTTCACCCAGTCATATTCTTCTGAAAGATTTTCATCGAGTTGTGTAAGTTTCTGTTTCTCATCCTGACATGCTTTGCGAAGATAATCTTCCCACTCTCAAGGGATACATATATTTGTTTGGTGGCCTCACTGCTTGTCTTATACACCCTTCTGGGGAGATAGAAGACCAGAATCATTGCCCTCATTAATCATAAGTAGAATTTCTATTCATTAGATTAAGGGCTTCTTCTTCAAATGGGAAAGTATGCCATGATGTAAGTATGAATGGTGCCATGCCTCTCCTACTGATATCTGCAGTGAAGGGGTAGGGGTTTCTGTGATTGTTCTTCAGTGGTAGGGCAGAGAAATCCTGAAGATAGTAGGTTTTGATGTCAGTTACTTTTATATCATCATGAAGACCAGAACCTAATATATGTGGTATGAAATCACAAAGCTGGAAGGGCTAAGGCTATTATTGCAAGTTGAGGAATGTAGAACCAATGAACTCAAGAGCAACACTACAAATGATCTGCTTTAAGTGGCAGAACAATCTGCAGCCCTGACTCCAGGTCCACTGCTTTTTCTATCATCATACTCTCTTATACTTAATTCATCAGGAAAAAAAAATTTTATAGGAAAGGCAGGGATGATATTTAAAAATCTAGAGCAGGAAGAGTTTTCAGAGACCCTCTACTTTACTTCCCTGACCTGTGGGAGTACTGTGTCTCTATGATTTATTCTTAAATATCTCCAGGATGTATTACTTCTTCTCTCTGCCCTCTAGTCACATTTTCTTTCTCTCCGAATGGTAGTTTATTTAACGTTAGACTTTTTCTGCAGTTTGAGCATGCCTTGTGTTTTGACTAAGGAGCTTCACATTTTAATTTTATTTTATATCTCTTGTGGAAAATTAGTTTTTGTCTGTCCATATGGCTGTATATCCCACCCGAAATGCTGTTTTCATTACAGGAGGGCTCTGGGCCACAATCCGAGGCTCTAGTTTGGAAGATATCAGCCTGGTGTTATTTGGATCTCAGTCTTGTGCCATCAACATAACTACAAGCAATTCACAAAGAATTCGGTGCCGAGTTCCGCCCAGGGTAAGTGGAATCTTTTGGTATCTCGTTCTTTCTGGGTGGGTGACCATTATTAATATGTAGTATAAAGTTGTCAGGAAATCATTTTTTAGAACTAAATTAATTGACACGACCTTTTCATCATGAGAGTATGCTTATATTGTTTATATTGCCTGTCCTGCTATGATGAGGGAAGCTGATTCTACTAATGGGGCTTATAACTAACATCAGTTAATTTTCTTTAAAAGAAAACGAAGAAGGCTGTCCCAGTCCACATGCTCAATGAGTATTAGTGCCACATAATAAATAAATTTATTTAGTGCACATTCTAGGTATTGTTTTGCAAAACTTAGACATCTTGTAATTTTACTTCTCTCTTAAGCAAACAACAAATAACCTAGTTTTCATGAAGTAATTTTGTTTCCTGCCATGGATGTGAATGGTGGAACTCAGGTACTTCTAGAATGTCCAGTTCCTATAAAATATCTTCTTAGTTAATCTTACTGCTTTCTTTTTTCCTTAAAAACAATTCCCTTAGCCATTCCTTTTTTCTCCTTCAGTTGGTAGCATTTCATAGTCTATAAGAGATTTGAGTCAAGGACCTTTCTTGGTGCTGTTGGTGAGAGTTATCATCACAGCTGAGGTTGAACTTTTTATTCAGAGTTGATTTCAGTGTTATCAACATTCCTAGCATATCCATGACCCCAAAATATGGCTGTTTACTGAACGAATTAAGATCTCTGGAAGAGAGAATTCAAAATAATCTTTAATCTCTGATCATTAATCATTTTATCTATCCAGTTACTCAAATATTAGAAATTGCATGCAATTCCAATATATGGTTGTATTGTAATTTTAAAAACTATTCCCTATTATTAAACATTAAGATAATTTCCAAAATTTCCTATTTTAAACAACAGAGCTTTCATCCCAATAACTATATTTTTGGGCATATTAACTTTTTTCATGATATGTAGTATCCAGTTGTCTAATATTCCTTTTTAATTTTTTTCCCCACTATTACTATATGAGTATATAATTTCTTGTGCTTTGGTCAACACTGGGTATTATCACTTTAATATATATTTACATTTTAATGGGTAAGATTTGTGCTTTTTGGATTTCTTATACTAGAGAGAATAAACACTAAAAAAAGCTTTTAATTTTGGTCAGAGTAATACAGGCAAATGTTAAAAGGAAAATAGTTGAACAAGCATGCTCTTTTACCCATTTCCCCTCTTCTTTAAGTCCTCCTTTCTGAAATAAGCACTTTTAATTATTTTGAATGTTTATTTTCAAATGATGCTGGCAGAATCAGGGAATATATTTTTTTCTTTCATAACTTCTTTTTCTTAGTTTCAAATTTTTTCTTAACATGTCTTCTTTATAATAAAAAGTCCTCCATCTTAAGAAAAAAAATTCATCATGTCAGTTACTCATTTCCCTTGATGCTTCAATCAAACTTGGTGTTTTTTAGGTTTATTCTACTACAGATTTCATCCTAGCACTTCCATGGATTGCTCTCCTCTATGGAGTCATTTTTTCTTGGAGTATATATCTTCCTCTTTTTGGGCTATTGTTTATTTTTTTGAGATCACAGCCTTGAGAAACATCTTAAGAAAGAATATGTGGGAGGGAAGTTTTCCGAGTACTTACATATCTGAAAGTATTCTCACACTTGATGGTTAGTTTAGCTAGGTATAGATGTTTATTTGAAATTGCTTTTATTTACAGAACCAGTTGGTCTGATAATTGAGAATTATTCTTATTTACTCTTTAATCTGTTGGATGCTGCACTTGACTATTCTAAGCACTTGTCACTGTGCATGTGTGGTGTGGGATGTGTGTGTGTGTGTGTGTGTGTGTGAGAGAGAGAGAGAGAGAGAGAGAGAGAGAGAGAGATAAAGAGACTTGAAAGTAACAAATATATTCTTTAGAAACAAGTTTTTAAAAATTAATCTTTTAAACTAATTCTATATGAACTTCACTCAAGCCAGTCTTATTTATAGTGGTTTGATTTTAAAAATTGATTTTTCAGGGGAAAGATGGACCAATTGTGAATGTGACTGTGATTAGAGGGGACCATTCTGCAGTTCTTCCCATGGCATTCACATATGTCTCCTCTTTAAATCCAGTGATCATGTCTCTGAGCAGAAACAGAAGCAACATAGCTGGTAAAACACATGATATTACAGAATCTTTTTATTTTTAGACCATTGATCTTATAAAAAAGAAAAACAGTAGATTATACATTCTATTAAAGATAGTGTTATATTTTGGATGGAAGTTACTTTTCTGAAAACCAAGAGACTTGTATTCTCATCATTGAATTAATCTCCTAATATCTATTCTCCCTCTGTAAAATTGGGACCATTTCCATCAGGAAGATGACAATATAATTCAAGGATAACAATTCGACAACATTTATTGAGCACTTACTATGTGTCAATAGTAGCATCGACATATAATAGACTTTAATTCTGGTGACTAATTTATGCAATTATTAGCCTCAGTTTACTGGTAAAGAAACTAAAGAACAGAGAGAATAAGTAACTTGCCTGAGATGTTACCTTTAGTAAGTAACAGAGCTGGGATTTCAACCAAGCAGTCTGGTTGCAGATTTCAAGCAGTTAGCCACTTATAGTTGACTATAACATACTGTTTTTGGCATCATGTTCTATTGTAGTAGTTATTTCATATGATTAGACAATAAGATGTTCTTATTAGCCAAGAATTCTTGTTCCTTGAGACATGCTTTGTATAAAAAGAATAAAATTTTTAGCACTCAACTACAGAAAACAATTAAAACTTTCTTTGATAATTCAGGTGACATGACAGAATGGAATTATAAAATTTGTTATAATGTCAGACAATACAGACTTGGAAAAGTATCAAGTAATACACCTTTCTGGTTAACCGAACGCCAGATAACAGAGAGTTTGTGGCAGCCATATCTAAGGGTTTATTACAAATGACCTTCAAATTTCTCCCCCAAAAAGCCTGGACTCAATTTTTCTGGTACTATTTTCATTTTCCATTGCTCAAGAGTACATAAATAAAGGGAAGTGTCCTTTAGCTTCTCAATATTATTCAGTTCAGATAGTGCAGAAGAAGAATTTGCTGCCTTAGGCAACCGAAGTGTGTAAAATTCCTTAGTGGTATAGATTCTTCCCAACGAAGTAGAAAAGGGAGGAGGGAGCTCCGTGTTCTATTCAGATTTCAGTGATTTTGGCTTTTAATAAAATTTCCTACCTATAATGAAAAGAATAAATATATTGCATCAGTGCCTCAAAGGCATCTAGGATTAGCTTGACAATTGACCAAGAGCCCAAGGAGTTCATGTTATTGATATATACAACATGATGCATTATTTGCAGAACTTACACTTGCATTTAAATCTTTCTACAGGCAGAATAAAGAACATGTTATAAAATCCACAAAGGGTGGTAGCCTATTGGGAAAGTTGCTTTTGAAAGTTAGATTGTGGCACATCTCCATCCAGGAGATGATTATGCTGATGGTGACAGTAAAGTCGAGATGAAATCAAAGAGAGAGAGGAGAAGAGGCAGGGGGATAAGGGAGGAAGGATGTAATGTGCGGGACCATTAGTGTAGTTTTTGCACTCAGGCAGCGCTGGATCTGAGTGAATCCAAGCTCATCCACTCCTTGGGCAAGATATTTAACTTCTTTTATCTTTGGTTCCTTTAATTGTTATATGAGAATAATTCTTTAAAGGTTATTGTGAAAATTGGAGATAAAATATGTAAAGCGCCTAGCTAACATGGAGAAAGGACTCAATAATGCTTTGTTGAAGTGAATGCCATTATTCTGCCACATACTGTGTGATATTAATGAGCTAAAGATGGCCTCTGTATATTGGCCCAATGTTGTTTACTTTTTCACAGCAGGCTGGGAGCCATTAGCTCAAAAGCCTGCCAATGTCAAATTCAAATTTTTACATACTCAATTATTTTAAATATAGTCTCCCACAGCAGATTTTTAGCCTTTTAGAGCCTGCCTGCTTTGCATACCCTGCAAAACTGCACCCAACATCTGCTAGACATAGATAAGATAAACCTGGGGGCTACAAAGGACTCTAATCCACTGCTGCCCTTCAGAGCTCTCTGACCCAAAGACTGCCACTGGGCTGCTGAGTGACATCATCTAGATACCAACACCCTCTCCCCGAGAAGTTTCTTTGCTTTCCTCTCCTTCTGGGTGGTAGTCTCCTATTGTTGCCTCTGGGGGAGGTCTCATGCTGTGAGGTTTCTGTACCTCTGTGAACCTGTCAAATACCACGCATATAAAGCTCATTTTTTGCACTTCTGTCACCTCATGGTCATGTCTTTTTCCTTGCTCAAGCCTGAAATTCCTTGAACTCACCACACTGAGGCTTCAGACTTCACAGTAGAAACAAAGTTGGGAAGACATGAAGGAGCAAAGAGGATGTGGATCAAGGAAGAAAATGAAGTTAATTGAGAGCTTTTAAATACTGTACTATACCAGAGGCTGTCCTAGGATGTCTAACTTAATCCTATGACAAGCCACATGAGGTGGGCTCTGTTACCATGTTACTGATGAAAAACTCAAGGCTTTGAAGGCCTAAAGCGAGTCACACAGTCACACATTTTTTCAGGTGGTAAAATGGCAGAGTAAGGATTTAAAAGTAGATTCAGTCTTCTCAACACACCACAAACCCTCTTCTTTGACACTTCTCTTTCAAGAGACCTCTTTTCCTCCTGATCTCATTATCTATAGTGTTCTCTAGATGCCAGCCCTGTAGCAGTTCTTAAACATTAGCAGCTAAACACATTTTAGAGGTGCTTTAGCCAAAGCTGTGTCTCTATGGACACACCAAAATTCAGGAAAGGTAAGTATGTTTATTTCCACTTCTGCCGTTGCACACTTGATTTCTGGCTCTTGTTAAGACTCCAGTTGTCTGCAGAGTGAATTTCTCTTCCCTATCTCTTTAATTGATCTCATAGATTGGAAAAATAGCTTCAATAATATTATTTTCTTACTTAAAAAACTTTGGAGATCTCCACTGTCCACTAAACTAAGTAAAGACACTAGAGGATTGGATTTCTTAGTCTTCAGCCATAGAACCATCATCAACTTGGCCTACTCCTATAGAGTCCCTACTGTATATACATGTATCTGCTCTTCCAGAAAGTCATCCAATTCTCTTTCTTTCTCTCCAAGCTGCCGAATGATGAAATGAGAAAGTGCTATGAAAGGCTTTGTGTAAAACTGTGAAGTTTTTAGAATAGAACTGTAAATCTCTTCTTCTCTATTACTTCCTCTTAGAATTTTGCTTTCAAATAAAACTTCAAGCACCATCTTGCCCATAAGGACTTTCTTGATATTTTGAATGATGCCCTGACTTGAACAAGTCCATTGCTTAATTTTCACCTCTATTATGGCATGTCTTCTAACTGAAGCTATTTTTGTACCTATTTTATCACCTTTGAGGTCTCTTTGTGGGCTTAGTTTGTGTTTAACTTATTTTTGTGCCCCTCATGACATATCGCTTACTCTTGCTACTCAATAATATTTGAGGTAAAAGGAATTGAATTAGCATGTCCATAATATACATGGCATTGTAGTAGGATTTCTAATTAAACCAAAAAGGTATTGAAAGATAAGAGAAAACCGGTCTCATTCCTTGATATTTTTATTAATTAGCTATGAGACCTTGGCTGCTAAATCTTAGTTTTCTCCAAAGCTAAGTGTCAGTCCTACTAATTGCCCTATAAATGTCAACAGCATAGTGTGACAATCAAATGAGATCGCATATGTGAAAGTACTCTGTAAACTGTGAAGTACTATACTCGTATATGGCATTATTATGGGGTTCACTGCACATTGAAGATAAAACTTTACACTTCTATCGGTAGAAAAGTGGAAGTTAAAAAAGGGACATGGAGTACTATTTGTTGGTTATGAAGACCATCAGCTCTTCAGACTACGTCTCAATTTGCCTTTGCATGAAAATAATTTAGTGTGCCTCTTGAGTACAATTGTCTTGACAAATTTGCTTTTTATGCTCTTGAGATTATTGGTTATAGCTCTACTAAAAGAATTGTTAGAAGTTTCATGAAAAAACATTAGATTGGCATTAAAACTCTTAATTAGGGTATTATGCATATAATACCCTAATATTAATAGTACAAGTTTTAGATTGAATAGGTGATTGAGGCCACAAACCAATTTCACAGAGGCTAACAAATTCTTTTTAACACAGGAGGTGAGATCCTTTTCATTGGAATGGCGTTGCTGGTGGATTACACAAATTTGGATGTGGAAGTCTATATCAAGGATACCTTGGCTTGGGTTCATGCAAAGACTGCTCAGGGTCTGGAGGTGGTGCTGCCCCCACTGCCAGCTGGCCTCCACAGAATCTCAGTCTCCATCAATGGGGTCGACATTTACTCAGCAGGGTGAGGTGGACACTTGCCATTAGTTTTAGGTCTGTTTGATGGTCTAGTGATTCAGTGGAGGAATGCTAGTTTTGAGTTAGGTCTTTATTTTTTCTTCTTCTGAAGTTAGGGGATGAACATGAAAATCATAAAATTTGAACAAATCTTAGAGACCCTATAAGATAGTTCACTCTCAAGACAAATTCAGGAGAAATTTTTGGCTTAACTAGTTGGTGAATGGAGAACTTTCCGG